CGGAGGCCGGCGTCCCGGGCCGGCGTGCACGTGCAGATGCGGACGTGTGCGTGTGTATGGGTATGTGTCTGTCTTTCCATATGCTCAGGAATCTCTCCCCGGGATCCGAGCCTTTGACCGCCCAGCCCTGGGGAGCAGTAGGCAGCACCCCGGAGCGGGGTCGGCCCGTAAGGCCAGCAGGCCTCGCGGGGCTTGCCTGGGACGCTGACTACCTGTGCACGTGCTCAGACCTGTCCGTGGTCAGCCCTGGACAGCATCCCCCCCACGGGGGGAAAGCCCCGGTGCCGCCTCACAGGGCCCCAGCCCTGGCGGGTACTGGGAACCCCAACCCAGCCCGGCCCCTTCCCAGGATGGGCCCTTTGCCTGCCTTGGGGACCCGCAGTTCGGTGCCGAGGTGCACTTGGACTGGGGCGCGGCCGGCGGTGAAGAGCCGTCCATTAGAGGGAGGCTGGACTCCGCCCTTCCCCGTGCTGCGGAGAAGAGAGTTCCCTTTCAGGGGGAAAAATAAACACGCCGGGGCTTTCACTAGGGCTCAGACTCCAGGAAGGATTATGGTATTGAAGGCAGGAAGCTGGGATTGTGGCCGCCAGCAGCATGCTGGGCCTGTGTTCCCAACACGGAGTCTTGGGACCTAATTATCCCGCCTAGGAGGGCGCAGCGCACTTTCTGTCCACTCTGGTTGTGGGTCTCCGCCTTCCTGGGTTTTGAGGAGGGGGCCTGCTCCGAACCAGGGCCCCGGCCTGTAAATGGCTGAAATTCAGCTTTCCAGGGCAAGCCAGGGGGCAGATGCAATGCTGAAGAAGGAGCTCTGGGCACTGTTCATTTCTTTCTTTTTTTCTTGGCTGGGCTGGGCCCCGGAGGGGGAAAAGGCTGGAGAGGCTGCTGGGGGCAAGACCTCCCACGGGGGCGAGGTTGCCTGGGAGGCTGAAAATTCCCCTGCGTTCTGGAAATGCTTAGTAAATCATTGAGACCGTTGCCGTCCCGTCCTCCCACATCTATGTAGACATAGAGAGGGAATTTATCGGCAAAGGCTTTTTGGCCTTCACCAGAAAGAATAGTCGGGAAGAATCCTTCTAGCTATCTATCTCAAGGCACCGGGCGCTCACACTTGCCATTAGTTTCTCCCAGGCCTTTTTTAAGGAGGCGTTTCCATGATTCCTCTCCTCTCAGCCTCTGCCACAGTAAGGAGAGCAGCTTTAGGGCAGAGCATTGGGGAGATCCTGCCAGAGAAGCCCCGGGTCAGGACTTCACACATGAGTCAGTGTTTCAGAAGCACAAATGTAGAGATTTTTGTATTAAACATCTCACTCCACCTTCAGTCTTGTAAAATGTGCCCACTTGATGGACTGTAGAAGCCTAAAGCTGGTGTGTTTCCTGCTGTTGAGTTGACCAAATTCTCTTAACTTGTGCATTTTCACCCAACTCTTTAGTCACTGAGGGCTATTGAATGAATTTAAAGGTATTTGGAGCCAGGAACCCATGACTCCTGCCTGTAATCCTAGCTACTCAGGAGGCTGAGATTTGAAGACCTTGGTTGGAAGCCAGTCTGAGTAGACAAATCCAGGAGACTCTTATCTTCAGTTAACCACCCCAAAAAAGCCAGAAGTGGAGCTGTAACTCAAATGGTAGAGTGCCAGCCTTGAGTGAAAAAGACAAACAAGAGTTTAAGAGGGACTGGGGATTTCGCTCAGTGGAAGTGCACTTGCCTGGCAAGGGCCAGGCCCTGAGGTAGGTCCTCAGCTTATGGTGGGGGAAGGGGGGGTACAAGAGGCTGAGTTTATACCCCAATACTGGCACACACACACACACACACACACACACACACACACACACACACACTCCATTTGGACTATTTATGCTTTTGGGAAATTATTCTGTGTCTATGCTTTTGGGAAAATTTTCAAGTAGGTAGACAGAATAGTAAGTTGAGTGCTCCCCTGTAATTTCTACTTTGAAATTTTAGCCAATAGATGAACATATTGAAGTTTCAGAGCCAATCACACACCCTGAAACAGTGTACATATCATCACCATTCCTAATAATCACTGCATTATTCATCAGACTTTACATCTGCTGTTTCTTAACCTCCCCCCCCCGCCCCCTCCCCCTTGGTCACAGGTTGAAGACATTTATTTAGCAGGCCTGCATTGCCATTTAGCCAGTGGAAGGGAATTCAGGCTTTGAATCCCTTTTGGATCAGCGGCTTTGAATGTATTACAGTTTTCTTCATTCTCTGTGAGTGGCTGCTTGGCGAAAGATTGAAACAAACGTCTGTGTTTGAAAATGAATCCTGACAAGTGTAAACTGGTGGGAATTTTTCATAGCCTTCCTGAGATTCTTTTGATTTCGCTGCTCTCCTTTCTTCCTGGGAACTACAGCCGTGGTGGGGAGGGGGGCGGGGAAGGGGGAGGGAGGGCACACTGCTCAGCTCCAGCCCAGCTCAAAATGTGAAATGCCTAGCTCAAAGTAGACGCCTCTCCTCTACTGGTCAGCTAAAGCCCAGCTGGACTAAAGCGAAGTTAAACGAGTTAGGTGTGCCAACATGAGCATTTTTTTCAACTTACTTTGGCAGTTGCCCTTGAAACTAAGGTCAGGTTGCTTCTGCTTTTTTTGAGGACGGTCGGGGCGTTAGTTAGCTGGAAGAGATCCCTGCCTAGCTGAGCTGGCTGGCAGCAAGTACCCGCCCGAATCTTAGAGCAAGGGTTTCTGCCCCCGGTGGACCGGTCTGGTGGAAGCACCGAGGGCTCCCAGGTGAGGATGGAAAGAGCTCCCGCTGTGCACGTTTGAGGGCTGACCAGCGGCAGTCATCCGTTTGGATTGAGGAGAGCTGGCACTGGGGAAGATTGCACTCACTCACCTCATCTCTTGCAGTGGCAGTGGCAGCGGCAGCGGCAGCAGCAGCAGCAGCAGCCCAGCCCCGAGTGTAGCATCGCGCTCCGCTGCCGCCTCAGCGCCCTGGTTCTTGAGCCCCCAGCCGGGCTGAAGGCGTTGCTGGCGGCCCATGCTCCTAGAGGAAGTGTGCAGATGGGATTAACGTCTACGTGGAGATATGGAAGAGGACCGGGGATTGGCACCGGAACCATGGTCGGCTGGGGTCGCTTCATCTGCCTGGTGGCGGTCACCATGGCAACCTTGTCCCTGGCCCGGCCCTCCTTCAGTTTAGTTGAAGATACCACGTTAGAGCCAGAAGGTAAGTGAGTTCTTTTTTTTTTTTTCTTTTACTTTTAGGGTACCAAGTTTGGAGGGTTTTTTGGGGGGGGGAATGGTACTTGGTGGGAAAGCCTGTTTCGGCATCAGTTCCCCTTCTAGGGGAGCAAGGAGAGGGGATGCTGAGGCCCCCCCAACACTCCCTCATAATAGCGTGCCCAGGTGGTTTCAGGGTGTGGGTTTCTCTGTGCTGGGTGAGGAGGCGATGGCAAATGCTCTTCAGAGAGTGCCCAGGAGAGCCGAGGGGGTCCGTGTCTTGGCATGATGGCAGGCTGGCGCCCGGCCTCCGCGTAGCTGTCTCTGGAGGGAGGGCCCTGCTTACAGGGTAGAGCCAACTGCTGTTTTCTCACAAAAGGAACCTCTAAGGGACGTGGCCCACCTCTGAAATGCTGACATTTTATTTTCAAGGTTGGAAGAGAGTAGCAGCTTCTGAAGTTCAGCCTATTAGACTGGTTTTTTTTTTTTTTTAAAGCCATTGTAATTTGTAATAGTTACAGCAGTGGGTCCCAGAGTGGCAGGTTCTATTTTAGGGAGACTTGGATGTAGATATACCAAGGGGTTTCCCTGAGAGGTCACAGGGCACACACAGGTAATTTTGGTTTTGGAGACTTGATGGCAGAGGCCAGAGCCGGCCAGCTGGGCGGGTGACACCAGGCTGAAACGCAGCACTCGTTGGGCCAAATCTGGAATCTGCCCCTCAGGTCTTTAGAAGACACTCTCGTTAGCTTTGCTTCTGCTTGGTGAAGCTTTGAAATCTGTCATCAGTAGGGAATATTGGTAGCCGAGTTATTTTCCAAGTGGTAATCCGAGCGTAAAACGGCAGATCCCAGCACTCATCGCCACTTAATGAACCTGTTTGCTGAGCGCCCACCTGGTGTGGCCTGGGCTCTGGAGCCTGCATGGTCCTGAGTGGTGTCTGGCCGGCTGACCGGGCGGGGGACGAATGCATCAGCCACCTGGTACCCAGAGCTGTCAGCTGAAAAGGAACAGAAAGCTCAGCCTCGTGAGCCAGCCAGGGCTGCACCCATCCAAGGTGAGGGCCTGAGAAGATGGCTCTCCAGTCATGTCCACCAGGTGCCCTTGTGAGACCTGGGAACTGTTTTGGTCCCATGGAGATACGATTGCTTTAACAAGGCCAGGTGTGACTGCACGCTGCCTGCCTGTCTTTCAGAAAGGGAAGCAGGCGGGAATTTTGTGTTGAGGCTTGTTCAGGCTGCAGCTTCTTTGTGACTTGGGCTGTGACATCTCGATGAATGTAATTTATAAGGGTGAGTTCATTTTTTTTTTTTAAGGGCTTAAAGTGAGGGGAGAGGTTGCCAGTTTTTGCAAGCCAGGCCTGTATTCCTTTACTTTTAGTCAATAATTAAAATAGATATTCCCCTAATTACTAGTTTCCCCTTGAGGAAGGGGCTCGGCCCTAATGAAAGAATTCCTACAGTGTGGGCTTTAGGGACAGGTTGGTGTGTGTGTGTGTGTGTGTGTGTGTGTGTGTGTGTGTAAACCTGTCATTTTTCATTTCAGGACAAGAGTTACTGTGAGTTTATTTCAGTGGAAAGTATAAAATGGTCCTGGAGGAGCTGTTTTACTGAGTTTAATTATTGGAGGAAGTTTAAAATATCTTTGTACATGCTGGGAGAGACAGGTGAGAGATAAGAGGGACCAGTGGGAAGAATCAATACCCAATAATTGAGCATGTTGAAAACAGACTCCCCAACGGAGCCTCCAGGGACGCGAATGTGTGCACAGACCTGGGCTCACAGGTCCTCTGCTTCAGTGTCCTTTGAGGCATTTTCCTGAGTCCAGAGATCTCAAGAGGTTGCATCCATAGTGGCGTGAGATAATCAGAAAGTCATGTGTGAGGGGAAGGTGCCAAGCTCTATGAAGGGGAGGGTCTAGAAAAGCAGTTTCTGGAGCTTCTGCACCTCCGTTTCCTTTTTGGTCACTGGAAGGTCGGGGTCGATGGTCTCTAGCCTCTAGGTTGGTATTTAGTGCTTGTGTTTCCCTTGATGTGAACCTGAAGGTTGGGTGGCGGCATGCTTAGCATCGATGTGGTCATCGCTGTGGTCGCAGCCCCAGTCAGCTAGGAACAGGGGTCCTCCTGGGTCCCTTGTCCCAGCCTTTGCACTGGCTGTGTCCATTTGCCAGTGTTGAGAAACAGATGCAGAACCGTGAAGTTTCTCTTGGAGGGGGAGGCAGCTGAGCCTGTTTTCTGTGGGGTTTGGGCTTGCTTAGTCTGGTCTTCTAGCAACTTCCATCAGATTTGAGCCTGAAGACCAGTTTATTTGCCTTTTTTTTTGGCCAGTCCTGAGGCTTGAACTCAGGGCCTAGGCGCTGTCCCTGAGATTCTTTTGCTCGAGGCTAGCACTCTACCACATGAGCCGCAGTGCCACTTCCAGCTTTTTCTGTTTATGTGGTACTGAGGAATTGAAACCCAGGGTTTCATGCATGTGAGGGAAGCACTCTACCACTAAGCCATATTCCCAGCTCTATTTGCTGAGCTTTGATGTAATTTTTTTTTTCAATACCTGGAGGTCAGCTAGAGCAGTCCCACCTTTCCCTCCGCCCCCCGCCTCACACCTTCCCCGTAGGCCCTGGTTGCTGCTGAATTTGTGTGTGTGTGTGTGTGTGTGTGTGTCTATGTCTGTGCCCATCTCTCTGTTCATTAGTGTAGCTATAGCAACTGTTAACTTCACCTTTGACCTCCTGAGGTCTTATCTTGGAAAACTTTTTGGTTTGTTAATTTGGAGGCTCAGTTTAGATAGTATGGCTTGGACCAGAGAGAGATGTGATCAAGAGGTTCCTGGAAGGAGGCTGGTCTGTCTTTTGGCTCTTTGGGGGAAGAGTTACACTTAGTTCTCTCAGCTCTGTGTGACATCATGCATACATATCATCTTGTCATGTCCGATCACTCTGTGTGTTATCCAGGGTTGGGTCTACTCAGTTTCCTGAAGATTTTACTTGTTAATATTGCAGGCTTGAAGTGATTATTTCCAATTGATCATTCATTGTTCCAGGGCGTGGAGGGGGCTCTTCTCAGTACCAGGTACTGATCTGTGGCTGAATGTTCTGAATGTTTGGAGTGGAGTCAAGGGTGATTATAGATGAGGGAGAACTCTTACTTTCAAATTCTTCCCAACAGTGTCACCTCCTCTGGTTCATTAAGCCATTGTTGACATCTAGGGGATCTTTGTTTACACCAGCCCAGTGGGAGCTAAAATAAAAGGGCTTTTCTACCCCAAACCTTAATTACTTACCCTCTCCCCCCACTCCTGGGATTCTGAAAGGCCACAACCTGGGGAACAGTAGGTTGCCTGCTTAAAAATTTTTTTTTTTAATCTACTTTTTTGGGGGAAATCTCCTGAGCGTGAATGCTGTCCTGGACCAATGGGAGTTGATCCAAAGTGAAAAACGGAGCATAGGATGTGCAGAAACCTCCGTTAATCACTTTTCCTGGGTGGTTTAAGTTCTTTGTTAGAAAGTACCATAAACACTACAATATCCCCCATTCACAGTAAACTGCAAGTTAAAAGAAAAGAATAATATATGTGCATCCTAGGAGGGAGTGATTTAAAATGCCATGGGTATTTTTGTTCCTTACTATGTGTGTTAATATTTAAGAGTTGACTGTAACTTGATAGTTAGCTAAGGAACAAGGGCTTATTCTTGGTCAATTAAACCAAATGCAGGCTTATGTAGTTAAATACACAATGAAGTACACATTCTTTATTAGTATATAAAGTATTTCACAATTCATAGACAAAGAGCTGTGTTTAATATTACTTCTAGAGAAAAAATCTGCCAAGCCCAGAGAATTAGTATTTGTATAAATTTCCGTACTGGCTCCTTCTGGTCTGAAGTAAGTGTGTGTGTGTGTGTGTGTGTGTGTGTGTGGTGTTGCCTCTTTATTTTAACCTGTTAAAAGGCTGAACAGTTACTTATGCAGAAAACCTACCAGCTCATATCTGAAAACCCTTTCCAGTTTTTCAGTCCCTGCTGAGGGTGAGAATTGAAATAATCTGCAACAGGAGATGGCTCGGCTATCAGACTTAATGAATAATTTCATGGTTATGAAATAACTGGAGTGATGTTTATTAAACAGGAAGAGTTTGTTTAATGTTCACATTCTCAGGGAAAAGCATGCAATCTCCCTTCTGCTTGTACATTGTTTGTTTGTTTTGCTGTTTACTTATGGTGATTGTGAAAAGCTCCCAGACTTCTTTCATCAGTCCATCTTACTTTTCCATTTCTGCCTAAGTTAATTTTAGTCTTGAAAGGAAGGCATGGGAAATCTGTCTTGGGGTGCCCACATGTTACAGGAGACAGCAAATGCGGCAGTTGCTGCTTTTCTTCACTTGTTTTGACTCTTAGCAGGGTGTCTGGGTAGGTAGTTCAGAAATTATTTTTGGGGGAAGTTTGCAGGATATTATAAACCTCGTCCTGTGGATTATCTGTGGCTGTGCTGTACTTGTGTGTGTGTGTGTGCATGTGTGTGCACGTGCATGCATGCATGCTGGTACTAGGGCTTGAACTCAGAATCTGGGTTCTGGCTGTTAGTTGTTTTGCTCAAGGCTGGCACTGTACCACTTGAGCCACAGCCCTACTTTTAGCTTTTTACTGGTCAATTGGAGTCTCATGGACATTCTTGCCTGGGTTGGCTTCCAGCAGTGATCATCAGCTTCCTGAGTAGCTAGGATTACAGGCGAGAGCCACCAGTGCACAGTTGTTTTTCGATTCTCTAGCATGCCAAGGCTTGGTGTTGCTCATCAAGTCTTGCTGATTTGCCATCTTGGGTCATGATCCTTTAACTGACAGCAACGGTGTCAGAGGCTCTATGTGGCTAACAAGTGAGACTAAAGTAAGGGTTGAATGTGTGGCCTCAGCTGATGGTACTGCAGCTTTTGAGCAACTCTACTCCAGCATTATCATATCCAAGATGGCTTTGTCTAGGAGGAGCAAACCTTAAGAGCCCAGCTCTGACTTGCT